GCTTGGTTTTCCATCAATGCTTTTGCTTTTTGTGCACCTGCCCTATACTTAAAAAATTAGGTTTGGGAAGTAAGAATAAGATTTTAGATTTGTCTGTAAAATTTCATGTTGTTAGGTTTGGTCTTTGGTCCCATCTTAATGGGATCTTTTGGGTTCCTGATTTGCTTACTCAGTGAATCCGCAGTCCATGTTAACTCCAGTTCCTCCCCCCGCCCACCCACCTCCCCATGTGGGAAGCCTGCCAGCCTTGCCCTTATGCTGTGGGACTTGATCTGTACCTCCCAGCTCCTTCCCCAGCCTCTAGCTTGCCTCTGAGGCTCTCTCCTGCATTCGTGGCCACGGGGAACATTATCAGGATCCAAACACCACCCCCTCCCCCACCCCCTACACACACACACACACACACACACACACACTGCTTCTTTGGGACAATGCTCACTTGACAATTTTTTGGCTTCAGATTCCAGTTCTGCTTTCTAATCTTGAATTTGCTTTTTTTGGGGAAAAATGTATTCCTTTCAATTTCCCTCACCTCCACTACTCTTGACTTACCATGACTGGAGGGTGACCACGGCCATGTCTACACGCAGCCTGGCTGCCACTTTCCTGGGAGGGACCAAGTACGGCACCCGAGGTTGTCCACTGGAGACCACTCTTCAGGTTGACCTATTTGTCACAGGGTCTGGGTGTTTGTGAAAGTCTAACTCTACTAGCTGCTTTCTTTATCCTGCTTACATGAAAGAGGGTTGCAGATGCTAACATGAACTCCTGACTCATTAAGTCCAGTGTTCTGCCTAATCTCCCCCTCTGAATCCCTGCAAATGAAAGGTGAAGTGAGTTTCACCAGACGGCTCTCATTCTCAGTCAATTCATGCTTTCTGTTAGCGATCACGGCTTCATTCAGGGCTCAGGCTATCACTGTAATAATTCATCTAGACTCTTTTCTGTACACTAATCTGTGTTGGCAAAATCCTACAGGCCCAGTAATGCATGTGGAGGTTGTCTGGAAATAGCAAATGTTTAGGGATGGCATTCTCCTACGAGGCCTGGTAGGAAGCTAGAACACACAGTGTGGCTTAGTGGTCTGGGAGAGTGACGGAAGTGGTCTGGCTTGTTCAGTCATTGCCTGGAACAGGAGTGAAATCAGCAAGCAAGCATCAAGCCAGATTCTCCCAGGGCCGAACCACAAAAATTAGACGGTGGCCATGAGGCATGGCCTATTAACTTTTCCTATTGAAATGAACAAAGGTTAAACAGACAGAATGTGTCACTGGAAGGCACTTTACGTATGGTTTAGGCCAGCGCTCCTCAGACTTTAACGAGCACATGAGTTGCCTGAGGAATCGTTCTGAAATGCAGACTCTGATTCAGTAGTTCTGGGGTGGGGCCTGAGACTGCATTTCTAACCAGCTCCCTGGTGGTACACCTGGCCCATGGCCACACTTTGTGCAGCAAGGATTTAGATGACATGGTATTTTATTTTCAGATATAAAAACTGAGGTCCAGAAAGGTGAAGTGATTTCCCGAAGCCACATTAGTGAAGTTAGGGTGGCCCGCTTCACCCAATCTCCTGGGGCCTAGGTCAGTGTTTCTTTCATTACAAATTTGCTCAGCTCAGCAAAACACAGGCTTGCCACACTTTCCCAAGGGTCCATACAGCATGTGGAGGGAGAACCGAGGTTAGATTCCAGGTATGCTTGCACACACACACACATATACTCATGCACACACATTGTTCATGCTTCATATTCTCTTTTCTCATTATTTGTGCTATGTAGGAAACACAAAGATTACAACCACACTAAAGACTTTCTTAAATGCAAGTCAATTCTGGATGTGTAAAGTTTTTGATAAAACTATTCTGGGACAATACATGAATTATTTCTGGCCTCTTAAATGTAAAGCTAGGCATTCTGGAGTTCTACAAAGCCCATGGTACTGGCAAAATTGTGTCATCATCACGTCTTTTGATAGTTTTAATATTACCTCTGGGCTTGGCCCAGTGATTTCTGTGTCCCGACATTCCTAAATGACCCTGGAGTTACAGAGATTTTCCATTAACTTCTGGCATTGAATTTTTGTTGTCAACTATGACTGTTTTCCCTGAACTCTGTGGGGGAAATTAAATAACTGCAAATCCCAGGCAGGAGTGTGTGTGTGTGTGTGTGTGTGTGTGTGTGTGTGTGTGTGTTCACACATATTAACTAAACAGTGCAGATTCCTGACATTTTTTTCTCTTTACTGAGAAGCAGGAAGGAGGAATGTCTGGAATGGAAAAGAGGGTCAGAAAAATCCTTGAAATGATATCTCTGCTCTCTGGGAAAGGGTAAGAGAATAAGCTAAACTGACTAGAAAAAAAATGGGCCACAAACTCCTATTCTGGGAGGCGAATCTCGATGGTGGGTTAAGCCACTAGTGCGCCGTCTGCAGCCTGTCTATCTACTGGATAGTAGGCTTCTTGGGGCCAAGGCTGGATCTTCCTGACCTTTTTTGTTCCTTTCTTCCAAAGAGCCCGGAAGAGGTCCTGTACCGAGTGGAAGCCCAGAAGCAGGTCTTGAGTGAAATACTATCACCTCTTAGGTCCACTGCTCCTGGCCAGCGGCCCCGGAAGACACTAGTGTGTTTCTGAGTGAAGGGCTCAGTGAAGTGACTGGGGCTCAGGAGGAGGCATTTGTTTGTCGGAAAGCTACAAGTCACTGCTGACTGCCTTCTCCTCTCTCCTTGCTGGCCTCTTCTTGTCCACTCAGAGCCTCCTTGTTGGCTTTCTCTCTTTCCTTATGAGAGGAAAGGTTAAAAGAGGGCAAAAGAAAAGGAAGAGGAACAGCTGGAGGAGAGGGAGAGGGGAGAGGGGGAGGAGACAGAGGAGGAGGAGGGAGAGGAACAGGGAGGAGTTAGAGGCAAAACTATGATCTGCTGTTTGTGCCAAGGAAAAAGTCACAGTGCTTGACCCAGAATATCCCTCCTTTGAGCCCCCAGCTGTGACTGCTCTCCTCTGTGGGGGCCTGTGTGAGTCAGGACGCTTTGTTGCAGATGATGGAAAACCCAACTCGACTGACCTGGTTTACAAACACCAAAAAAATGTATTGGCTGTCATCACTGAACTTTCCAGAGGGAATATGGGTTGGATCAGTGTCAAGAACTTTCTCTGTAGTTCTCTGGAAACCATCCCTCGTGCGTGGGCTTCATCCTCAAGCTTGTTTCTCTCCTTGTTTTAAGGGTGCCCAGGGTGGTCTCTTGAGGGCGTACGTCCCAGCACTGTTGAGCAGAAGCTCTAAGCCTTGCTCTGGCCGAACCACCCCAAGCCCTTGCTATGGCCAGGGGGACTCCGTGTGCTGCCTGGCTTTGCCCATCCTGGAATCCTTTAGAAGGAAGCATTGCATGATCCTGGCTGGATCAGATCAGTGGGGTCATCCCTAAAGTTGGGGTTGAGTTTGTCCCCCAGCCTCATGGCTACCCTGCATGGGGGAAGGGTGAAAAGTCCATCCCTCCCTACTGATCTTAGAAGTGCTTGTCAGCTGTTTCAGTGAGCTTATGTCTTTAGCAGTCTGTTGGTTTCCCAGGTGGCCTAGACCTGACTGCTCACGCTATGGACAGGTTAACAGTGTCAGCACAACCACTACAGGGATGTTGCCTTAAATTACAAGGCCATTCTGCTTATTCTTACTGTTGTTGAAATCCCTGTCTATGACTAAAGGGGAACATTTGGTCTCTCAATTAAAGCTCATTAATCTACTTATTAATCATGGCTACTTGGTAATTACCTAGAATGGGAAGGCGTTCTGGGGCGGCCCCTGGAAAGGATACCAAGAAAAGTAAGGAAATTGCACTGTCCCTGAGTACGTATGCTGTGTTCCCAAACAAATAGCACTGACCCCAGTAGAACTTGAAGAGCAAAGTCAAATTGGGCTGGACCTGCCTGGCTGAGGGATTCTTGAGGAAAGTATTTACTTTCTCTATGCCTCAGTTTCTTCATTTGTAAAACGGGTCTAAAAAATTTAAATTTCCTAGGAAACTGTGTGACACATAAAAAGTGTCCAGACTTACTGTCTCTCTTATTATTATGGAGAAGAGACATGGCTCAGGTAGGGAGACTCCCCCCAGAGGTCTGAATACTGGACACAGGGGGTGCCATAATAGAGAAATAAAAGGGGCATTTGGACAACACCATCCCTCTTGGATGGGTTAGGCTGCCAAGTGTGGAAGCCTCCACCCCCCTGTGTCCTCCTGCCTGCAACATCCCAGGCGCCATCCTGAGCTGAGGGGTGAACACTGCAAGGCTCTCTGAGATGCTGAGAAGACAGCCTTGCAGTGTTCCCAGCACACGTGGCAGGGGTGGTGGGCATATTGTGAAGAGGCCCTGGGTCTGAAACATGGAAAGAGCTGAATTGAGGGTTCTGTGGCATCATGTCTGTGGATGTTGTTATAAGAAGAATTGAGAGATCAGCAGAAAAGGGAGGGGTATGAGACCCCAGAGTCTGAGAACAGGAACTTAGGACCAGCTGGACATGTCGACAAGCCTTTATTGCAGGTTCAATGAGAAGTTATATGAAGAGGGCGACACAACCTTGTGAAACGCTATAAGTGAGTGTGCAGCGTGAAGAGTGTTGGTATTTTGTAAGGGCTTGGCATGTTTTTCTGAATGATTCTGGCTATCTGCCCAGCCCTGAGTTTCCTGTTCATAGTCCCCCACATGTGTCACTGCTGAGGATTAAAGCTATTACAGGCTTTGACACAGGAGTCACCCGGAGCCTACTTTCTTCTTTCTTTTAGCCTCAGCACTGTTGGATCATCTGATAAGATGTTAGCTGTCACTCTCATGCTGCACCGACCAGACCCAAGGCTCTTTGGGGGAAAAAAAAACTAAAAAAAAAAAAAAAAGTGATGTGAAATTTATATGAAAATCACATTTCAGTGTTTATAAATAAGGTTTTATTAGAATGCATCTATAAGTAACCGGTAATTACAAACTGTCACATAAGTTAATAAGCGGATGGGGAAAAAAAAAAAAAAAAAAAAAAAAAAAGGAATTGGTGACTGTATCCAAAGCTGACTTTAAAATGCACTTTTATTTTTAATAACCAACATCAGCCCAGCTGTCTTTATTTGAGAGAAGAAACCTGTAGGCTTACTCAGAAAGTGGCCACCTCCTGCGAGGCCAGACGTTCCCAAATGCCCCAATGATGAAGAAAGGAGACGGTAAGATGATGAACCGCACTTCGGGATTTTGTTCCTGTATTTGTTTTTTCTCCATTTTTTTTGTTTTTTTGTTTATTTGTATATTGATGAACTCTTTAGGAGAAACAAATGGAATTTGATGAAACTTATAATGTTACGCTGTTTGTTGAAACATGATTTGAAGATTTTCTTGGAGTTATATGGCTCTGTAGGCATATTTAACCTTAAGATGTGTCTAGGAACCATATTGAAAGATCACCTATGATTTTGTATGTTTTGTTCTTTGAAAGATTAACCATGCAGTATATGGGAAATATATTTTATCATGATATACTACTTATGAGCTATAGTTATATGACTTTTGGTAAATCATGAGATTTAAGTGGAGGGTATTATAATAAAGTCTTTTTTAAATGCTGTTGCTGATTTTAGAATTAAGATTTATGTTGTCACTTTCTGTTAAGCTTCTACAGTTTAAGAGGGGCTTAACCTGGACCAGTGTTTGATTGCCATCATTACATGATTATTAATAGACATCCAGTAGTTTCATTTAAAGTTACAATGTATTGTATTAACTAGGCTTGTACCCACTTCCTTCAGTAAGAGCTTAAATGTAACTTTAAAAGCTTGAGTACTTCCTTTTTCAGAGGCTTCACAAATGTGACACCTACAGCTACAAGGAAGACTTTACACTCTCATAGTGGGTGATAAACATTGCCCTGTATTTCTGACTGGACACCCTTGACCTCCATAATTTCTATCAATAATACTGTTGTTGTAGGAAAGAATAAGAAAATGGGGCAGAATCTGGCAGATTCAAGAAAGGAAATACAAAAACAAAAAGGAGAACAGAATGAGGTTTACCATTCAATTCAACTTAAAATTCCTTGCTCTTTCGCAAAGTGCTAACGTGTAGTGTGGCTAAGATGGTGGGAAGAGCGGGATGGTGGGGGAGGATGTTTTGAAAGATGTAACTGGTGACCAGCTGGTATGGGAAATGATGCACTCGCCCCCAGGTGACTGGAGAGCGTGATGTGTGCGTGTGAGAGGCCGAGGGAGGCCAAATGTGTTCACTATGCACATGTGGTTCTGTTAGGAAAAGAAAGGGAACAGTGCTGCCCAGAAGGAGCGGGGAACCCTTCTTGAGATGAGTTTGCCCTTCCTCATAGTGGTGATGAACTTAAAAAGATATTCATGGCCTGTCTCAGATTAACATGGAGTTGCTGATCTTTTAACCCACAAACCCTTTGGGCGCATGCGTGTCAGCTTACTTAGAGAAAAACTTGACAGGTGTGGTCAAGGACTGGCTAAGACCCACTTCTAAAATATATCCTTAAAAATTTAAACAAACAGCACATGTTCACTGTCAAGGATAAAACCAAAAGAGAATACATACAGTTAAGTAAAAAAGATGAAAAATAAAAACTTATCATAAACACTGTTAACATTTGGGGGGGGCATGTTTTTTCTGAACACATTTACATTTTGAAAAAAACACACTTGTCCGTGATGGTTAATTACCTACTTTCCCTTTCAGCACTATATAGTGAGTATCTTCCATATGAATGAATTTCTTTCTACAAAAGCTTTTAAGTCACATTATAGAGTTAATTTATTATATCATGTTGGTAGATATTCACTTGCTCTCTATTATGAACATTACCGGGACTAACATCTTTGTAGCAAAACCTTTCAATTGCTTCTAGGTGATTTCCCTGGGATCAATTCCCAGAGGTGAAATTGTGGGGTCAAAGGGCAGGAACATTTTTGAAGCTCTTGATCCCTGCTACTAAATTAATCTAAGAAAATGCTATGAATTTATACTCCCTCCAGTATTGTATAAATACCATTTTCCCACAGTTTCGCCAACATTGGGTTTTACCATTTAAAAAAAAAAATGTACTCGTCCAATCACTGGACAAGGCTATGCTGTTGTTTTAACCTGTGTTAAGGAAACATTTTGTAAAATCCCTGGCTTCTTACTCTGCCCCTTTGGGTTCAATTTCTTGCCTTTTTTGGTTACTCATCAAAGTGAGTGTCTCTTACAGTAACTTGTGCCAACCTAATTTCTGAGCCCTTTGCCCTCATTTGATTTTGCTTAGCAAGTCAGATGCTTTTGCTCTGACCTTTTACCATTTGAACAACCTAGGACAAACCTCAATATTTATGATTTTATCTGTAAAATTTTATCTACAAAATTTAGAGATAAAGGCTGACTGGAAAAACCCACCACACGATCTTGATCTTACTAGGAATATAAAGAGATAAGATAGAAGGAAGTTCTTTAAATAGAAAAGAAAGAAAAAATACAAAATGGTACTATTACTATGGTTGTTACTATTTATACATAGGGTGACAAAAAATGTATACACATTTTAAGAATGAAAAAAACTATATTAAAATTGTAATACTTGATATATACTGATAACAAATGATGAATACAAGTCACATTTGATTTCTGCAATTACAAGAGATTCTCAAAGTGGTTCCCATCAGCGTCTAGACACTTCTGATTACAGCGAACTACTGCTTGAGCAACGTTGACCAAAAAGTGTCCACTTGGATACATTTTTTTGACACCCCTAGTATTCTTATTTTGTAAAGTAGACAGTTAGGAGCGCTGCATGCTGAAATTTTGACAATGTCTTGAAATTCTAAACTTGAAAAGTTGTGACCGTGTGTTACAACGTATTTCTTGGCTCTTAGATTCAGCAGCAGCATTTGGTGTGCCCCAGAAGCACACGAACATATATTAGATTAAAAATAGTTTGTATTTGGTTGTTTATTTATCTCATTTGCATACAGGACAACATGGTCTTTTTCCCAGATTGCACTGTCATCATCCACTTGCTTTGCTCTGACCCCCTGTCGAGCGCCTCAAAGGTGAGGACTGGTTTATTGTGTGTTTCTCTCTCCAGGGTCTGGTTGGGGTCTGACATCCTGTGGGGGTTCAACAGGAGGGAACTAGGAATATCCCAGAAATAAATTACAGGGGATTTAAAATATACATCTTTTCTGAGGGCAAGTTGATTATTTCGTTTGTTTAGTTCATTTTGGGTTGGTTTTTGTTTCTACTGAGTAAACCTTTAAAGCTCTTAATAGATATTGAGCAAATGAATTCAAGCCAAAATTTCGTAAGTTCAAGTCTCTTGTGAGTCTGAAAAGCTTTACAGGGAACACAGACTTTCACTCTGACCCTCAGCTCCGTGTTAGGCTGTTAAAATCAGAACCAAACTGATGTTTAGTAATGGTTTGAACTTGGTTCAGAATAGATAATGAGGACAGCTAACACTTAATAGAGCGCTTACTATGCGTGGGCCTTGGATCTAAGTGCCTCATATGAGGCAGTCATTATCATCATCTTATTTTGCAGATTAGGAAAGTGAAACACAGAGAAGTGATTTGCCCAGTCACACCAATAATTTGTGCATGGCTGGGACTTATGATTCAAACAGCCTTACTCTAGAGTGCATGCGTTGGTGAGGGTAGAACTGACTGAACTTCAGGGACAATGACACGTGGTTTTTGGATGGCTGCTGACACCTGTGCTGCTCGCTTGAGTATATAGCCACCATTTGGTGCGTCTCCACTAGGGAGCATGCACTCTTCTGGCTTCTTTACCCCATTATTTCTAATCTTTCTCACAACCTTGTCAGATTGGTGTCATGATTCCAGCTCTAGGGCCAAACAAACTGAGACTCTGAGGAGCTCAGTGAGTGGCCCAAAGGAGCCAACTAGGGATGAAAGAACCATCAATATACATCAAGTCAATTTGGCTTCCTAGCTCATGTACCATACTGATCTGCACAACTGAGTACTGACATGGTCGGTTCTTCCATCCAAAGGTGCTAAGAATCCAGCTTTTTTGCATTTCGAGGTGTTGAGCCTGAGAACTCAGCCAACTCGTCCCCTTACTTGGGGGTTTGAGGCAGAGCACTGAATTGACATGGGCCAGTGTGAACGAAATGGCACTTGGAGTTGATTTTCCCTGGCAGGACCATGCAATTTATTACGTCAGCCTAGACCTGAAGAGTGTTTACAATACTTAGGGACACTTTCCTTATACTTCCTATCTCCTGAGCTTCCAATCCTGCACCCAGGAGTCCTAAGAATGTCTCTAAGGAGGTTGGGATGGTATGGCGAGTGCTAGCTTGGGAGTGGAGGCCCGGCTCTGCTTTCTCCTGGGCAACTTATCTACCTTCTCTTTGCTTCATTGTTCCAGTTATAAAATGGAGATAAGAATATAATTTCAAATGGTATTTTACTTATTTTTTTGTTAAACTTTTCAGTAAAATTTTTTTTTAGAATTAAGAAACATTTTTTAAATTAATAACACTGGTTTATTTACGTTTGAATAGACAAAATGAAATTTAAAAAGCTATTCAGTAAAGCATCTCGCTTTTCCTGTTCCCCAGCCATCTCTTTCCCTCTTTCTCAACAACAGGTAACTGTTGTTAATAGTTTCTTTTATTTCCTTCCACCTCTTTCATATTGCATTAGTCAGGGTTCTCTGGAGAAGCAGAATCAATAGGATAGGAAGAAATTTATTATAAGTTATTGGCTCTGTGATTATGGAGGATACGTCTCATGATCATCCATCTGCAAGCCATAGACCCAAAAAAGCCAGGGATGTATTTCCAAGGGTTGAGCAATGGAGAGCCACTGGTGGACAGTCCAGGCCTGAAGGCCTGAGAACCAGGAGTGCCAAGGACAGGAGAAGATCAGGATCTCAACTCAAGCAGTCAGGCAGAGTTAATTCAACCTTCCTCTGCCTTTTTGCTCTATCTAGGCCTTCCTCTGATTGGCTGAGGCCCACCCACATTGGAGAAAGCCATCTTTACTCAGTCCACCCCTTCAAATGCTAATCTCTTCCAGAAACACCTTCACAGACACACTCAGAGACAATGTTTAACCAACTACCTGGGCATCCCATGGCTCAGTCAAGTTGACACATAAAATTAACCTTGGGATGCCACAGTGGGGAAGGGAGATCCGGCTGCTGCCTGTAGGGGTCACAAAAAACATCCAGGCAGCAACACGAGTGGCACACGTAGCGATAACACTATGAAAGAGACAGATGACTGTTGAGACAGTGACCAATGAGACAAGAGCTGTGTTACCCCGGTGGTGGGTCATCCTGGTGGGAGGGGGATGAGGTCTGAGGCAGACGGGCTGAGGGACCAGCAGTCTTAGCACCATGTTGGAGGAGCAGAAAGAGTTGTCTGCACATGGGTGTGCAGTGAGTAGAAGGAAGCTTTGAGGTGAGCTGGGAGACAGAGGCAGGGGCCAGATAACCGTGGGCGTTTCAGATCCCAGGAAGGGGTCTGGACTTTCTCCTGACTTTCAGGTAGCTTTCAGTCACGGACTGGGAAGATGGTGCCAGAATCTGTGAAGTCTTACTTCATAAACCCTGAACGCTCACCTACATGATCCTAGGGAGGCACAGCTCCTGTGCACACACATTGGCAAATGTTGTATTTGCTACAAAAGGTTGTGGCAGGGGTGACATTTGGTATAGGTTGACATCCAGACATGGTACTCTCTTGCCCAGCCCTGAATTCCTGTGTGTGTGACAAGCAACAAAATATTGCCTAAATATAGCTGTGGAGACATTCTACAAAAATACATTCTACCTCTCCCAGAAATAAAACTCAGTTTATAAAAGGTTTTCTCATTCATAATTTCATGGATTACTAAGTGAACTGATCATTTGGACAGATTGTTATGGAGTGTCCAAGCCCTGTGCTGGGTGCTGTGGGTGGTCAGAAGAAGAGGAGATGGGAGGGAATTACAAAGATGAAGAAAATATCAAAGCAGCTTATTGTCCAATTTTGAGACCCATGTAGTGGTATTTTGTAAAACATCAGCAATCAAAAGAGTGGCAGGAAGGGGACAGTGGAAAGGGCTGGGCCATTTCTGGGTTCCAGTTGAGAACCCCGGTCTTGCAGTGTGAGCCACAGGGCAAATCTGCTTTGGGGGCCTGCATGGTACTGGGGAGCCCCTCTGAGCTGTAATGTCTCTTACATTCTCCTCTGGGCATGTGGGAAGGGTTATCATCTAACTTTAGAGGTAAAGAATTGAGAACTTTCCTCAAGACCACCAAGCAGGCAAAGGGTGGGGCTGGGACTGGCCCCTGAACTCGGACTCGGCGGCCACGGCCCTCTGTGGTCCAGAATAGAGCAGAATCCCTAAGCCTTATCACCTGGGAAGTCCCTTAAGAGAGGACCTCTCCTATGCGTCCTCTTTCCCTCTGGCCCCTCTGGTTCCATTACTACGGGGCTCCTTTGCCAGAGTCGGTAGTGTTGGCAGGGCCATGCACAAGGCATGTAGACTGGACCACGGCCTCCAGTGCTGACGGGGAGGCTCTAAGCTGAGAGGTGCTTCCATCTTGTGAAGGAACATAGGGGAGCGAGACAAAGTACTGTTGATAGGGCATCAGAGCCCTTCTCTATGGCACAACTGGTCATCTGTGGCCAGAGCAGAGTGGGAGTTAGTGTGTGTGTGTGTGTGTGTGTGTGTGTGTGTGTGTGGTATGTCTGCAATGAAGGCCTCAGGAGCTGTCAGCCCAGAAGAGGTGGTAAGGGATGCAGGTTTTCACTGAGGTAGAGCCATCTGGGCAGAAAGTGGGCAGGCTGCTAAGTCAGCTAATACCTCAGGGAGCTTTGCCTGCTGGCCCAGGGGAGAGAGGGCAGGCTTTGCTTCTCAGCAGAGGGGACCCTGCAGGTGAATTTCAGCCCAGGCAGAATTGCCCAAGTGAATGCAACATGGGGGTGGAGGGATCAAGTGATAACGATAGGCAAAAGAGGCTGCCAAAGGAATGTTTACAAAAGAAAAGTCCAGAACATTCTTACAAAACTTGGAATGTATCTGTGCTTTTGGTTTTCCTATATCTGTGTTCCATCTGTCCATACCGATTGTGTGATTAGCTTTAAAGACTAACATGTTAGTGGGAATTCTAGCAAGTTTGATGTCTGGAGACTTTAGACAGCCCCGGAATCCATGAAAAAAAATGAATGATGACATTGCTGTAGAACTAGGTGATGGCATGTTTGTGCCCTTTGTGGGAGCTTGCCGTTTTTTCTTTCTTTTTTTTTTTATCATTTGTGGGGAAATTATTGGGAGTGAACATGCTTATAAATTATCTTGTGTTTTTGTCCTAAACATGCCTAACCTCTTTACAATGAGGTCCTTTTTGACTGAGGTTAGCATTCTTGCTTTCAATGACTGTCTCCACTCAGCCATTTATGCCAACAACATATTCCAACATGGGCCCCAAAACCAACACATTCCAGAACCATGAGTTTGCCCCCCCCCTCCACCCCACCCCTGAGGATCGATGTGGTGTTCCTAATTCTATTCCCGGAGCTAGTGAGGGGGTAGAACTTGACTGGAAATCCTGGGCAGCTTTTCTTAGACCTTTTATTATCTGCGATTTCGTCTGTGGGCCCCATGGTCTCTTCGCTCTCAGCTGATCAGCAGCCATCTTATCCAGCTGTTGGAAACACCAGCAGTCATCTATCTCCTCCCAGCAATGTCTGGGTGCTTGGCAGACTTTACCTGTGTTCCTTACACAGGTTTTATTGTTTTCAATTTGTCCTGGAGGAAACTGAGGCTCAGAGGTAGCAATTGAATAGCAGAGCCAGGATTTGGACATGGGTCTGCTGGACCCCCAAATTTCTTTACATCTCATTGTGCAGAAATGATAAGGGGACTTGGAGATGGGGAATGCTAGTTTATGAAATAGTTCTCTTTAAGGTGTAGTTGGAGCAGTCATATGTGTAGGAATGCTTAAGCCCACAATCAAGTTCCCTTCCACCACCTCTGACAGGAATTTATCATCCAAAATGGCATATGTTATCTCTAAGCTAGTTTTTATAAAAGGA